CAGGGTAATTGGCTTCAAATAGAAATTTTTTTTGGCCCTTTAAAAGGCTCTTTGCATCTCTAGCCACCTCTCTCTGGCAGAGAGCAACCCCGCCACTTTTCTCAGCTGGCTGTTTTCTGTGTACTTTTTGGGCTCTGGTGCTGTAGGCTAGAGATCCCTGCTTATGGTTTAGGCCCTGCTCTTTTCTGGGGGGTCCAACTGGCCGTTTCAATATCCTTCTGGTGCTGCCGCCCATGGGCATCCCACCCGCCTTCTCGAGTCTCTACTGCACCCCTTACCAATTAGATTGCACTAAAGCCGATTCTTCTGTCTCCAAGGTTATAAGGCTCCTCTCTCACTATTGTTCAGTTGTTTGTTCCAGGTGATTTCTCCACAATTTATTTGTTATTCCAGGTTGTTCCTGGAAGGAGGTCAGAGTGACTTCTACTCACTCCTCTGCCATCTTGATTCCCCTCTGAGTTTTAAATTCATGCTTTAAAAGCAATGAGCTCAAAGCATTGGCATATTTCTTTTCAAAAGCAATGGCAAATACGTGCATGTGTTGTGACAGTGCAAGTAAAAGAAAAATATTTACAGGCCTTTTTTTTATTCAAAATAAAAATGATTATAAATGAGTCCATGGCAGAACATAGATTACAAAGTATACTGACTGGAAAATTCTAAAGGAAAACAAAGAAAGAACATTTTAATTAACAATTAACATTTTAATTCTTGGGAATATTTGAGAAAAGGGAATAGGGAATCATTTTTTAATCTTTTTTTTCCCCCAGAAGTAGATTGTAGCCCAGCTTGTGAAGCTGGGTAAACTCTGGCTTCATACCCTTTTTCTCGGTGAGGTGTATCTGTGTCCCCCGAGACCTCAGGCCAGGACACAGAAGTACATGGCTGAACTGGTCCAGTGAGGACCATCTTCCTGTGTATCTCGCCAGCCACTGGCTGGTGTGGTTCTGCCTGCTTACTTGTCGCTCGCTTATCGCTGCTTGGAGTCCCCTGAGTCTTGGAAAAGGAAAGTTAACAAACAGCATATCCTCTTGCTGGCAAAGGTTTGGAAAACAGTCCCAGGAATACAGCCTGGACACAGTTCGGTGTGGGGTGTAGACCCTAAACGTCTTTCATCCCCATTGGCTTTCCCTGTGGCTCTAGACAACACCGGGATCTTTTCCTTTTCATTGGGTTACATCTAGAGAGTCAGGATCCAAAGTTCTTTTTGGACAAATAACAACACTTCCTGATACTTGATAATTCACAACAGGATTTTTTTGTTTCTCCTGATTACAAAATGATGGGCTTTTGAAATTTGAGTTTGAGTTTGTTTTATCTTGAAGAACCATGTAATTTCAACCAAGAATAGTAATACAGAAATAGCTGATTTTGTAAAAAACCTTTCCTGTGCTCTGGACCAGTTTTGCTTTTATTAGCAGGCCAAGAAGGACGTCTGCTCTAATTTGCCACACTTCTTTCTCCCAGGCTGTAGAAGATGCAAGCTCCCCCTCCTTATAGCCAAAGGAAAAGGAGAGCTGCTGTCTTGGTAAGGGTCTCTGACATCCTAGTTTCTGTCAGCAAAACAGGAGCTTGGAATTTGACAACCTAAGTTTGTCAATCTTTTTTCAATGTTAATTTCAACACATGTTTTCCCTAAGTAGCTTACCTTTATTTCTTCTGTTTAGTTCTCATAATGTTTAAGAAAATCTTTCTACACATATATAAAGATTCAACTTTTAGGAGATGTGAAACCCATTATACAGATCATACAAGCCCAAGGAACAAGAGAGGTAAACAAGTGAGCCTAAGAAGCAGAGTGTGGCTTGCTTTTCCCTCACCATTTGTAAGTATTATCTGTAGATGCACTTGCCTGTAAGGTGTGTGTTTTCATCTGACAGTGCTTGACACTAAGATTGGGGTAACAACCCTGCCTGGGGGAAACAGCATAGGCAAACATGTATGGAGCTAATTGAAATGGGAGAGGGTTGAAGAGTCTTCTCTTTATTTAAAAAAACTTCCATGTAAATATAATTAGACTCATAAACAGTTGTAAAGATAGCACAATGAGTCCTGTGTACCTTTCTCCAATGGTGACCTGTTATATAACTATATATAAAATATATATATATATAAGCACAATATCAAAACCTGGAATTGATACTGAAATGTTGATACTAGACTAAAGACCTTATTTAGTTTTCACTAAACAAGATTCATTTTTCTAACCTGCATTTAACCTGCATTTATGTGTGTGTGTGTGTGTGTGTGTGTGTGTGTGTGTGTGTGTAGTTCTACATTTTATTCCATATATCGATTTGTGCAACTGCCACCATAATCAAGATGCAGGACTGTTCCATCACCGCAAAAGAACTCTCTCGTGCCATCTCCCTCTGGGCTCCCACCCCCTCCCACTCCGTCCCCCTCTTCCCTAATAACTAGTCATCTGTTCTCTATCGCTATAGTTTTGTCATTATGAGAATGTTATATAAATGAAATCATAAAGTATATATAACCTTTGGAAACTGACTTTTTCCACTAAGCATCATGCCCTTGAGATCTCTGCAGGTTGTTGCGTATATCAGCAATTCATCTCTTCTTATTGCTGAGCAGTATTCTATTACATGAATACCCTAGAGTTTGTTCAACCATTCATCACTAAAGGATTTGGTTATTTCTAGTACTTTTATACTAATAAAAAAGTTGTTGTGAATATTTGTGTACAGTTTTATAAAAGGTCTTATTTATTTTTAGAGAGAGGAGAAGGGAAGGAGAAAGGGAGAGAAACAGATGTGAGAGAGAAACATTGATCGGTTGCCTCTGTCCATTCATTTCCTTTCGTTCTTTCTTTTGTTCTTTCCCCATCCTCCTCTTCCTCCTCTCATTAAACTTACTGAAGTATAACATACAGATAGAAAATCATAGTTACAGTTCTAGAAATTCTTCACAAAGTGAAGACATCTGTTAACCAGCACTCGGATTAAGAAAAATATCTTAATCACCCAGAAGTTCCTCACCCAGAATAGAAGTCACTATTCTGACATTACTGAGATCTTTGGGTAATGGCAAAGGCAAATTGCCTGACCTGTCCCCAAGGGCCCCCTCCCCCGCCTTGCCTCACCAGCGGCAGTGCTGCTGCTTGTTTTAATTTGAAAATTACATGTACAATATATGTGTACAAGTGGAGGTGGGACCAAGGAAACTTTGATGGAAGTTCTCACAGTTTACAAAATTCTTCTTTGTTCCAGAAAAGAGAAAGCGACACATTTGAGGTTATTTAAGTCAAGATTAGTTCTTGCTGATAGAATCACTATCTCTGAATTTAATCATTTTCTGTATTCTTCTGAATTTTGTGCCTCTTCTGTGGATATTTTATGTTGATCATCTTGGAATTCAGAACTTCCCCACCCTGAACATGATGCTATATATCTTCATGAAGCATTTACTTTGTGCTGACAGAGCTGTTAGCTGTTTATATTGTACTACCTTGCTCGTGTATGTGCTGTCATCCTCAACAGAAGAGAAACTGGCACTGAAAAAGAATTTTTTCCAGTGTCTCAGCTGGTAAGTGGCAGAGTCTGGGGCTTGAACCCAGGACTGACGCTGAGAACCCTACTCTCTGTGCAGCACCCTATGGCTCCCAGAATGGGCGGGTGACTGAAGTGAATCCTTAATATTCTCCTTGTCTGGTTCCAGATGTTCCACGGCAGGATGTCCTGTGGAGGGCCAAAGAACCTCGCTGTGTGACAATGATTAGAAATAACAATTAGCTTGTTACAGGAAATGAAAAAAATCGAGATCTTTACTATCATGTCTACAAATCAGAGGACTGGGTTAAACATGTGAATGAGAAAAACTGATTGTGACCTTATACAGATCATTTATTTTCTCTGACTGGTGTTATTTTCATCTGTTAAGTGGAGATAATTGCTTGTAAGGCACTTGGTTGAAGAAGAGTGTCCAGCATATAGTAAGTGCTTCATTCCTGTTAGCCGCCATCGTCATCATATTATCATCATCATCACCACCTGGAAAATAGGGCTGGGCTGCGGAGGTGATGGGGGTGCTGTTGAGTGTGAGCTAAGGCCAGGTTTCTGGGCTGCAATACCTCTGTAGTTAGCAGCTGCCTTCCCTAAGAAAATGCTAGTAGTTGAAAATTTTACTTGAAATACACTTAAGCCAATCATTGGGCTGTTTTGTGAAGAAGGAATCTGATGCACAGAGTGTTTTTAAAAGACTTGCCTAATCCTTGGGGCATTAAATTAGCAGTTTATATTGGAGGAAGATTCAGATTTAGAGTTCATTGTTAATCTTCATTTTAAAAATATTCACTAGCTATCATGCTGTGGCTTTCTTTTACTTTTGGAACATAATAACATATTCAACCAAGGGCATCAGGCCTCTCTGCTAACGGTTTCATCCAACTAAAACCAAATTCCATCTTTGCAGTCTGCTGGCTTCCTCCAACAATGACCCCTCTCATTCTCCATTGCCTGGCTGAGATCATGTTCTCAGTGGATTCCAGCTCTAAGAAAGGTGATTGGTTGGTTCCCTCTGCATCACTCTTGTCTTTGGCTGTAGGTTTGACATAAATTCTATGTATACAATATGTAAACCATATGGACACCATCTGAGAAGAGCCTTTCTCCTCTGTTAGCTCTTTAGGATAAACTGAAAACTTCTGGGCCTGCTTGCCTCTGGCTCCTTCGTTCTCTGCTGTGGCTCCTTTGTTTTAAATCCTAGAATTATCCAAGGTCATGACAAAATGAGTGTGGAAGAAGAGAGATGATTGGCACTTACATAGCCCTGGATTTACAGGTATTGATTGACTCTGGCGTAACTTAATTGTTGAGTGAGAGGTGCTTTATACTAACTGATTGAATCTATACTTTGCTGGAACAAACTGCCTGTATGTTGGCAGTAGTTGTCTGGCCTGGATATTAGGAGTTGTCCTGATTTCTAATGTCATGTCTAATTGTCATTACATGTGCCTGGAGTTTACTTAAGAAGATGTGTAGTCGACACTCACCTGGCAGGGGAGATATCCTGATCCTGAAGGTGGCTTTTCCAGGGTGAGCCTCACCCATTGCGCTCTGAGTCTGCTGACCCCTGTGGCTTCCCCAAATGCAGGAAACTCAACTGCATAATCTGTGGTGTTGGGGACGGCATTTGTGGTCACCCCTGTTTTTTTTAAGGGAGAGAATGTATGTATAGTCGAGTACCTAGGCTCATAGGGCCTCAGGACCTGTGATCATTTATGTTTTGATCATTTACATTTGCAGCTAGGCCATCTATTCTCTCTTTCTATTGTTAACAATATTCCGATTTTTCTTTAAGGTAGCACCTGTCCCCAACTCTCTACCCAGATGCTGACATCACCTCTGTCACCTCTGATGACAGGCACATGACCTAGGTCTGGCCAACCAGAGCATTTCATCCTCTCAGTCAGGAATGAATACGTGATGCAGCCATGTAATCAGACTCAACTATATATCACCCTATGACCTGTGCTTGACATACAGGAAAAGAACCATTCTCTCTTCCCACTGGACTTGAAACTATGAGGCTCTGAGCCTAGCGCTTCTGCAGCCAATGTGCTTCCATGAGAGCCAGCCTGAGAAAGAAGCAAACCTGGAAAGCAGTGTTAAGAGATGGAGGGAAAATGAGTCCTGATGCTATCACATGAGGCAGTACTTTCAGCCACACCTGCAGTGAGCCTTCCCCTGTGCTTCTTCAGTTTCAAGGGTCAATCCATTTTGGGTTCTTTTTTTTTCCTCTCTAAGCCATTGTAAATCAAGTTTCTTTTCTTATAATGGAGAGCATTCTAATTGCTACAAGATGATTGCTAGATAGGTTTTGCATTCCCTGTGAAAAGTTCTTGCTCTTTTAGAGAAGGGGCAGAGAACATAAAAAACCTCTAGTCCCAGGAAACTTTGCCAAAACACAGACTTGTGGGCACCTGGCCTGGTCAGTGGAGACAAACCAGCTAGAACTCAGAATTAAAGTCTGTCCTAAAATGTCATGAGGATGTATTGGTTCAAATTAATGTTTACTATGTTGAAGCATTTGTAATCATTTATTTAAACTATTTTGGAAGGTTGCAGTGTCCTTGGGCTAAAAACAAACAAGCAAACAAATAAACAAACCAAAGAAGCTTTGTAGTTTGAAGCGTGGAAAAGTGATTTCATCTCACTGAGCCTCAATTTCCTCATCCGTAAAATGGGCATATCCAGAGTGCCAATCTCAAATAATCGTTATAGGCACATAAAGCACTCAGAACAAGATATCTAGTACATCCTCAATAAATAGAAGCTATTATTGAATACTATTACTAATGCTTTGCATTTTTCCTTGGGCCAGAATTAAGAGTCAAAATAATTTAAAATAGAAGCTCAAATTCTAGGGAAAAAAACAACAACAACATTGTGTTATTAAACATTCCTTAGTATGCTTAAGATTTGTTTGCTAGCTCTTCCAAGTTGGTAAGTGAAGGGAAATCTAAGCACTGGTGTTTTCCTCTTCCAGTGAGAGACAAAGTTATGCAATGGTGTTTTCCTTTTTAAGTTTAAGGCTGTTTTAAGTGGTCAATAACACCTTCTGATGGAACTACAAGTTCAGGCCAAGCTTTACCTCTTGCGCACTTAAAAATAAACCAATATGGAAAAAAGAATACAACACAGATCAAAAAACCTAACTCAAACCAATGTTCATTTAGTACTATGTGCCTGGCACTATGCTAAACTCTCTTTGTGGACCATCATGTCACTATCACAACTCTAGAAGGTAAGAATTCTTATCACAGTTTTACAGATGAGGATACTCAGGCTCATAAAAAAAGCACTGTTGAAGGACACCCAGCGGTCAGCGGTGGCTGGGATGAGAGCCCAGGCTGCCTGGCTCCAGAGCCTGCGCTGTCAGTCCCCACACGCTGCCCCCACCCCTTGCCTGTGCACTCTGGGGTCTAGAAAGGTGGGAATCCTTACCCTGCGGCTCCTGGGCCCACATTTGTTTGCCCTAGGTCTGAGGGAATCAGGAGACCTACTTCCCATGAGTAAGTATCTCCAGGATCACCGAAAAGGCTGGTAGTGGGATTTTCCAGGGGCAAGCTACAGACTGTGGGGCAGAGCTCAATCACTTTGAGGAAAAAGGATGTCTCTTGGAGTAAATTGGCATGTTCTCATCCTATATGCTTCTTGCTCAGGAAATTTGGAAAAGCTGTCTTATTGTGGAAGGACAATCACTCCTTGCTAATGAACCACTCAGGAAATTGATTTGATTACATGTGATTACGATGGGAACAAAATGTGGGTAAAAAGTATCTACTTTATTTGTTTATTTATTTATTTAGAAATATAATGCTCAAAGGATCAAAGGGAGAAATAGAGAAATTTACTTGCAAAAGTGATTTATTTTATGTGAATTTTGTATTGATAACATGCCTTATTCTGAGATGAATTTAAAAGTGATAATGAACACCTTCCACCACCCTGACCACTCTCGAACTTTCCCCTGTCACCATGGTGGTTATTATCTGAGGTCTTTGTTGTCGCTGTCAGATGTTGTCATTAGCTTGTCTGGTCTCCCTGTGAGGCGTAAATGTGACTTGGTGACAACGGGAATTACTGAAAGATCTGAGTAGAGACTGAAACAGTACAGTCATGTCACATAATGTTTTAGTAAAGACTGGACCGTATATACGATAACAGCCCCATGCGATTATAGTTGAGCTGAACCGCTCCTATTGCCTAGTGATATTGTAGCTGTTGCAATGCTGTGGAGAAGAATGTTCATGGTGCATTGTGTGCTTACAGTAATGACATTGTGATCATAGGAGCTGTCAGCTCGACGCATGTTACTGCCTCTGGAGACCCTTCAGTGGGACAAGAGGCAGAGCTGGAAGACTGTGCTATTGATGCTCTTGGCCCTGTGTAGGCTTAGCCTCATGTGCATGTGTTGTGTCTTAGTTTTTACAAAAAAACTTTAAAAAGTAAAAGAATAATAATAATTTAATAGAAAAAGCTTATAAAATAAGGCTATAAAGAAATTACTTTTGTGTAGCTGTACAATGTATTTGTTTTGTGTTATTTAAAGAACAGTCTAAAAGTTTAAAAAATTAAAATTTTATAAAGTAAAAATGGTACAGTAAGCTAAGGTCAATTTATTATTGAAGAAAGGAAAAAATGCTTAAATAAATTTAGCGTGGCTCAAATGTACAGTGTTTATAAAGTCTACGGCAGTGCACAGTGAGGTCCTAGGCTTTCCATTCACTCGCTACTCACTCTCTGACTCATCCAGGGCAACTCCCAGTCCTGCACTCTCTGTTCATAGTAAGTACAGATGTACCATTTTATAAATCTTTTATGCTAGGCCTTTTCTGTATTTAGATACATAAATACTTACCATTGTATTTGCCTTATAATTGCCTACAATATTCAATACAGTATGTGCTGCACAGGCTTGTAGCCTAGGAGCAGTAGGCTCTACCTTGTAGCCTAGGTGTGAAGTAGGTTTGTGTAAGTGCACTCTATGGTGTTAGCACAGTGACTAAACCACCTAAAGATTCATTTCTCAGCTCATATTCCTGTGGTTAAGCAATAACCACGTGGTTGTATTAAGCAAACAAGTATTAATGATCCTCGTCGTACAGCAATGACCAATGTATGGTTGCTGATAGTCAGGGCCAACGCTAAGGGCTTTCTCTGCACTATAATCAGACATCCAAAGGGGAGCCAAATAAGGTTATGATAAGAGACTATGGAGAAGGAAGGGCTGAAAGGTGGTAGAGGTGGATATGTGTTGCCTCTTGGCTGCCCAGATTCCACTTGCTCTATTTCTGATAGCTTCTGAAATTCACTAGGAATCTAATCTTTTAATACTTTCAATGCAGGTGGAGCTACTTTCACCCCCAGCTTTAAAGGGGGCATGTGAGCCAGGTCTGCACAATCAAAACTTCATATTCCCCTGACTGCAGACATAGATAATGACAAGCCACTGGACTTCATGCTTCCTTGCTGATAATTCTGAGATAGACCTTAATGTAGTGACTTCTTGGCCTGGGTACAAGGCTAGGCTGCTTCTGAGACGTTCCCAATATTTTGGGGTTTGATTGTAAAATCATATTGACTCAAGCACACATACAGCTGGGAGGGAATGCCAATATGATAGCAGGAATACAAATTTGTGGTATATTGGAAGCATATATTTCTCCATGATAAATGATCATTGAATAATAGGGCCCACTGTTAATAGCAGGAGGTTGTTGGGGACTGGAGTTTGGGGAATTGTATCATGAGATGTTCTGGGTCTAACTCCTGGAGGATTCCAAGATTCAATAGGTGATGTGTCTCCCAAGTTGCAATAAGCTTCCTCAAGCTTTCCAGATCACTGTGGTGCAGGGCCTTATTTGTAAGCTCATTTCTTTAGCCGGCTGAAAGTTTTCATGCCAAAGGATTGAGCCATTGCTCTTTCTCTAGTCACCTGACGTCACCTCCAGTCATTAAGGCATCTTGGTTGTTTTGATCTATCTCCAATCTTTTCTGTCACCACCAAGGCTAAACTAGGCTTTGCCTCTGAGAGTGCTTAAAAGACGTTTGCATTCCATTATTACAACACTTTGAACTGTTTGGAGAAGAGTTGTAGAAATCTAGTGAAAGAATAAATGCTTGTTGCAGGCATTTGGTAATTTTTTTTCCTATTATAGCTTTGAAACCTGTTCTGTTGAATCCATGTGTGTTAGTCAGCATCAGCCAGGACTTGAGGAATCATACTCCTATTGTCACTATCATAAATTATCTCCCATTGTATTTACTCTGCCCTGTGCTTTTTGCCTGACATTCTGCCTGCAGCGTCTGACACACTCTGCAGAGGGAAAACTACCTTGCTCAGCTCTAGCCATCATTCTTTTTGTCCAGGCTGTGCTAACAATGAAAAAAAAAAAATCTGAAATCACCCTGTATGGTAATTAGGTATAAAATGCCCCTACTGGTGGGACTTAGAGTTTTAGAACTTCTCCAGGCACACGGGGGCTCAGGGGATGATTGTGTATTATTATTGGGGAGTTCTATTTATGTCATTCCAAGCAAGGTGTGTTTTCCTAAGCTCTCAATCTAACCTTTCTCTGCTTACTGAGTGTTTACTCAGCCTTTGAAAGCTACTCATTGCTTCAGGGTCATGATAAATTAATT